AAGATAATTTTTGGGACAGATTTTTGATATTTAATAGGCAGTACACAGTAAGGAGTATAAAGTTTAGCATTTTTGAAATCTAATTAGATATTTAACAGTTTTATGACATCTAAACCTATTAATCCATCATAGGAATCATGAAATTTAAACAGATAAAATTTTAGAGAATCGTTTTGATTGAACTCCTTGAAAATAGGGATATCTGCACAATAATTATGTCGAGATGTTTGATAAATTGAAGAAACTTCGAATGGCTCGTAAAATATTCGATTTTGAAAATATTTGGATGCGATATGCGGATTTATAAAAGATCTTGTGGAAGCTGAATCTATTAAAAGTTTCATAGGGGGATCTGATATTTCAATATACGGAAGTTCTTTTTCTTTTGCTGATAGAGTATAGGATTCCACTAACCCGGACCGATTTGATCGGGGCCTGAATGAAAATTTGTCTGCTCGTCAATAAGTTCTTCAGAGGTATCGTGATATTCCTCTTCAGGTACTGTTGCTTGAGAATACGGGTATTGTTCTTGGCAACAATAATTATCAAAATCTTGATCGAACTGATTAAACTCTTGAGCAGGGTAGGAACAAGAAGGTGTGTTCTCGAAAAGCTCTGTATTATGCATTTGGAAGGGCCGTGAACTTACTCCACTCATAGGTGTAGGTTTAGACAAAGGTCTCTGGGCGTTTGGATTAGGTTTCCAGACGTTTTGTGGTTTTCCGAACACATGTGAATTTGTTAAGAATTTTTGCTGTTGTTGGTTTGGATATTTTTGGATGTTTATTGGGCCACGTGGAAATTGATTCGTCATCTGATTTGAAAAATAAGGTGATGGTTTAAATTGGTGTTGATGAAAATTATTCTGATTGTTAAAACCTGTTGGTGAACGATTATATTGCTGATTGTTAGAAGGAACATTGGGTGAATTGTTAAACATGTGAGTATTTGGTTTTTTAGCGACAATAGGAGCTGTAAACGTTTGGGATCTTTGGTAATACCTAATGTTGTCTTCTTCAGTGATATACTGTAAAGCTTGTGCAAGGTTATCTGGTCTCATGGCTCTTATAGTAGACCCTAGAGGTTCTCGTAGACCTGCTAAAAATGTTTTCTATGCTTGCTTTTTGAAAAAATCGCGTTTACTGTCTCTTTGTTCAGCGTCACATTTTAAGTCAATGTAATTACAGATCGTATTAAGTAAATGAGTTACTCGTTCGTGAAATTGAGAAGGTGTTTCGTTAGGTTTTTGTCTCAAATTAACCAAATCTTGATTCAAACAATTTTCATCGCGTTGGTCTCCAAAATTTTGAATAAGGGTGCTTTTAATATTATTCCAACTGGAAGAACCGCCATTAATAGCTACTACTTCTTCTGCTCTACCTTCTAATTTATTTAATATGCCATTAAGCAATAGAACATTCTGAAAATTACCTGCATTTGCTGTATCAAAATAATGTGTTAATATTGCTTCTGAAGCCTCGATAAATCTATGCAATTTATTCGGATTCCCGTCAAAATTAGGAATTATACTAAGATTTTTTATATCTAATGCTGGAGGTGCCATTTCCAAATTTTCTCCTAATTCTACTAGTTGTGTCTCGTTTTGAGTTTCTAACTTTAATTTATTAAATCTTTCAATTAAATCTAAATCTAACTCTAAATTTTGCCCTAAATCTACGTTGTTTTCGTCAAATGAATCAACAGGAGAGATAGAGGAGCCTGACATCAACAAGAAAAATTACTCACAGTATCACCAGTGTAAATTCCATTGGTGCGACGATCTGCCTGATTTTCCTCGATGGATCCTGGATCTGGATACGCCCTGGTACTTCAGCACTGGACTTTTGCTCGGGATATTTCATTAAAGAGTTAACATTCACGGATTGTCCGAAAAGGATATTCCGACGAAAATATCCTACTGACTGCGCCAATTATAAACAATAAGATTCGGATACCGTTTTTAAAACGTTTTTATTTCTTGTTGTTTTAACTACAATAGTTTCGTACAGACTGAATTAAAAAATGAACAAACGTAAATTGAAACAAACAAAGAAAAATCTAACTAAGCATATAAAAATAATAGTAATCTTAATTCTAGGAATCGTCGGGTGTCTGTCATTCCGGGAACAATATATAACTCGCGCTTNAATGAATAAACGTAAATTGAAACAAACAAAGAAAAATCTAACTAAGCATATAAAAATAATAGTAATCTTAATTCTAGGAATCGTCGGGTGTCTGTCATTCCGGGAACAATATATTACTCGCGCTTCCCATCTTCTGATGAGGGCGCTTTGTTTTTCGCGCATACGCTCTTCCCATTCTTTGACGGGGGCGCGGTGTCCTTAACCTTGGCGCTCTTCCAGTCGTTTGACGGGGGTATCTTGGTCGTTGGCTTCCGGTCCATCTACCACTTTCGACGCGAGACGAACGTCGCCGAAACGACCGGTCTGGACGCGTTGGATGTTGGAGACTAGCCCTTTGAGGGCTTTGAGGTTATGTTCGTAATGCTTCTAGTGAGAAAACAAGAAGCCGAGTATAAAACGTAATATACGTTAGAAGACTTACCGGATTTAATGAAAAATAGCACACACCGGTGTAAGGAATCACGCGAAACGAGGAGCGCTCGTTTAAACCGGTAACGAACCGATTTAGTGGTTATTTTTGCATAAATTAATTCCCTCTTTCTATTTAATTTATACGTTTAAATTGTTTACTTTAATAAACATAATTAAATTTATTTTTGAAATTATCTAATAAAAATTAAGTAAATAAGGAAGTTTAATAAAATATAGGAAACTTAATTATTGTTATATATGTAACCAAACATACAAGCGCCACTCAGCGAACACCAGAAGAGGAGCATCATTCGACAGTCAGAAGAGTTCAGAAGAACCACGTTTACGTTATACACCATTGCTTACAAATAACCTTTAGAGTGCTTGTTATTATACTCAATTATTGTAATAAAAGTTTCTACAATCAAGTTGTTTACATATACAACAAATTGGCGACGAGACGGAGAAGAGAAGAAAAGTACACGAGGAAAAATTACAGGTACAATTACAAATTTCTATCCGTTTACGCGAATACAAGCGGATAAGGAGTCAAAAATGTATACGTTTACAATAGAAAATTACGCAACAAAAAAATAAATAAATAATAAAGAAATAAATAATAAAGAAATAAAGGATTACGTTCATAATTTTTACTTTTTCAAAGTCACGCGTATAGACGCCATTTTACAAATTCCTACAGCCACACCCATGTTTCAAGGGCATCCTAAAACCTGCCTCGATAGCCCTCTAGGCACAATCATTTTCCTATAAATACAAATCCTTTACATTATTTCTTGAAATGGCCGAATTGACGAACGTTTTAGCTCAAATCGCAGAAATTTTGAAAAATGTTCAAGCTACGCAAAACCAAATCATTGAAAACAAACAAACAAATTATACGGGAAGAGATAATTTACAACCCTATGATGAAAACAACGAGAATTTCGATTCGTACTTACAGCGTTTAGATAACCACTTACAACTACGCGGCGTAGATAAAAATTCACAAACAAAACTTTGTGTTCAAATTTTAATAGGATGTCTTAGTCCTAAAATTTACCAAATTTTAACTAAACTTACGGCCCCAGATCTTCCTAATACACGATCATACGATGAATTAATCAAGCTTTTACGTGAATATCTAGCACCTCAGGCTAGTGTAACTGCAGAGCAACATAAATTTTACACCCGATTACAAGGAGAAGGAGAATCAATTCAATGCTATGTTGCTGAATTACGAAAACTTACCACAAATTGTGAGTTCAATTGTACAAAATGTAAAACATCTACCATAGAAACGCATTTACGCGCACAATTTATTAGAGGAGTCCGTGATGCAGAAGTACGAGAACGGCTATTACAACAAAAGAATCCAACTTTCGATGATGTGGTACAAATAGCAAAATTAATGGAAGTATCCAAAAGAGAATCTTCATTAATGCAAGCTCCGGGACAAATAAATGCGATCCAGAAGAAATCAAATCATTTTAATGGTAACAGAAAAAACTATACAAAGAATACAGAAAACATGGTTGGTAAATGCTTTAGATGCGGCAAAACAGGCCATAAAGCTAATAATTGCCAAGCGAAAAACTTAAAATGTTACAAATGCAAGAAAGAAGGACACGTACAATCGGTTTGTATGCAACGAAGTACAAATACAAAAGCAAAAACGCAAAAACAAATCGATACTACAAGTGAAAACGAACAAGAAGAAGAAGAAGAAGTTGATCCAGTCAACGAAATTGTTGCAATTAATTCATTACATACATCTAAAATTCTATTGCCAATTCGAATAAACGAAGGAAAATGTAACAGGGAATTGGATACAGATGCAGCTGTTTCCACGATTTCGATACAACAGGTCTACGATGGTCAAGATACGCTATAACGATCAAACAGCCGAAGGGAAACTGTATGTTTTACCTTTACAAGTTGATGCCATATTCGGAAGAGATTGGTTACAGAAAATAAAAATAAATTGACCAGAAATCAATAATTTACACATGGATATAGAATTGGAAAGGTTTTTAAATTCTTACAGAAACGTGTTGTCCAACGAATTGGGAGAAATTCCAAATTACAAGTACAGCCATAAATTCATCGACCCGAATACTAGACCAATTTTTTGCAAACCAAGACCTGTACCATACGCTTTGCAGCCAAAGGTGGAGGAAGAATTGGACAGATTGGAAAGGTAGATAAAAAAAAGAAAGGTAAATCATAGAGAAGACAATCCATTCTTCGTGGGGTACACCCATCGTACCAGTTTCACGAAAAGACGGGAGAATAAGAATATGTGCAGCATACAACATTACCATAAATAAATATTTGCAAGATGACCGTTACCCGATTCCAAGAATAGAAGATATTTTCAATAAAATGAAGGGTGGCAAGTATTTTTGTACACTCGATGTAGGAAACGCTTACCTACATATGAAGATGGACGAAGAAAGCTCCATGATCCAGGCGATTTCTACGCACAAAGGGGTCTACAAGGTGAAGAGACTAATGTTCGGAGTTAAAACTGCTCCATCTGCATGGCAACGATTCATGGACAAATTGATGCAAGATTTAGACGGTGTCGTTTGTTTTTTCGACGATATCGCAGTTCAGGGTGCAACTATGGAAGAATTATATCATCGTCTACGCGCAGTTATGCAGAGACTAAGTCAGAACAATTTACACTTAAACAAGAAAAAGTGTCAGTTTTTTAGAAAACAGATTTCTTATTTGGGACACATAATTGATGCAAAGGGTTTACACACCTTACGCACCTGAGAAAGTTGAAGCAATTTTAAAAAGTGAAAGACCAACAAACGTTTTACAATTGAGAAGTTTTCTGGGATTAGTTCACTATTAACAGTCATTTTTGCCTAACTTAGCATCTAAATTGTATCCTTTATACCAATTATTAAAAACGAATGTTAAATTCATATGGAGTAAACAATGCGAAAATGTATTTGTTGACCTCAAGAAAACCCTTACAAGTACAGAAGTTCTAACGCCATTCGATCCTGAATTACCATTAACATTGGCTACAGACGCTTCACCCACAGGACTTGGTGCTGTTATTTCCCATACGATGTCGGATGGAAGTGAACGACCAATAGCCTACGCTTCAAGATCCTTAAAGAAAGCAGAACAAAACTACAGCCAACTAGAGAGGGAAGCCACTGCGATAGTTTGGGGAATGCGTAAATTCTTTCATTATTGTTATGGACGACGATTTACGTTGATAACAGACAATCAACCACTAGTGCGAATTTTTCATCCACAAAAAGATTTACCTGCTACTTCAGCTATTCGTTTAATCCATTATGCTAACTATATTTCAGGTTTTAATTATGAAATAAAATACCGCAACACCAAGGCTCATGCTAACGTGGATTACTTATCCAGAATGCCAGTTTCTAAGTCATCATTTTTAAATCATGATTCACATGAATTATTCCAAATCAACGAAATCGAACAATTACCTATAACGAAAAATGAAATACGAAGAAGAACACTTCGAGATCCATTGCTGAAGAAGATTTATATTGCTATAGAGACGGACGGTGAAATGCCAAAAGGATTTCCTCGAGAAGAATTCACCATTCAAGACGGATGTTTATTACGAGGAATTCGAGTAGCGATACCAGAGGAATTCCGACAACAAATTCTAGAAGAATTACATCAGTCACATGCTGGAATCGTAAGAATGAAATCTCTAGCACGAAGTTACGTATGGTGGCCAGGTATTGATGCTGATATAGAAAATTTAACTAAACAATGCATTAGTTGTTAATAATCCTACTAAAAGTATTGTTCATCCTTGGGATTATGCAACCAAACCATGGCAGCGTTTGCACATAGACTACGCTGGACCATTTCATGGTACTTATTTATTCATCTTAGTCGATTCTTACTCGAAATGGCTAGAAGTAATACCTACTAAGTCAATAACATCGTCAATTACCATTAATATTCTTAGAGAAATATTCTCAAGATTTGGATTACCGTATACAATTGTATCAGATAATGGTACTAATTTCACATCACACGAATTCAAGAATTTCTTAAAATCTAATGGAATAAATCATAAATTAACTGCTCCTTACCATCCAGCAACTAATGGACAGGCAGAACGATATGTTCAAACAGTTAAGAACAGTTTGCGAGCACAGATTGGCGAGGGTGATTTGTTATTGAACCTCTGTAGATTTCTGATGCAATATAGAAAAACGCCGAATGCAACAACTGGGATTAGCCCGGCAGAAATGTTGTTAAACAGAAAAATAAGAACTACAATAGACTTAATACGAAGATATGTTGGAACCGAAATAAATGAGAGGAATTTGATGCCGACTGGAGACCGAAAAAATATCTTGGAAATTGGAACTAAAGTACAAGCTAGAAATTATACACACCCAACTGATAAATGGAACTTTGGAACCATAGTTGGTAGAAGCGGGACTCAACATTATGATATTGAAATTCAAGGCAAAATCCAAAGAAGACATCGAGACCAACTTTTACCATACGCGGGGAAGATAATTAATCAAGAAAGACAATTACCTAAAGAAGAAATAACGCGAAATATTCAACAAGAAAATCCAGAAGTTACGAAAGAAGTTCCGAAAATTGAAACACCGTTTAAACTTCCACAAGAAAGGAAAGAAACTCCTGAGAAAACAACAATTGTTCCTTCGAAAATGACAATTACACCAATTCCCGAATTACGACGATCTGAAAGAATTAGGAAAGCACCTAGCAGATTAAATCTTTAAATTTTCCCAAGGGATAATTGTTATATATGCAACCAAACATACAAGCGCCACTCAGCGAACACCAGAAGAGGAGCATTTCGACAGTTCGGAGAGTTCAGAAAAAACCACGTTGACGTTATACACCATTGCTTATAAATAACCTTTAGAGTGCTTGTTATTATACTCAATTATTGTAATAAAAAGTTTCTATAATCAAGTTGTTTCAATATACAACAGAGGTTATAGTAAAGAACTAAATATCGATTTATTGTGTGTGCGTGTTTTATTTTCTCCCACAATATCCAGTTTCCACATGTATGTGGTGAAATAATCTAAGTCGTACGTCCATATCTTGATTCATACACATTTTTAAGCGATGACCCACTGCCAGCTCTCGTGGTATCTACTAGGGCTCGGAATCGTATTTGAATAATCCGAATAGTCGAATATTCGTAATTCGAATAATTTTCATAATTTATAAAATTATTTATTTTTTATTTTATTTGATACAATTTTGTGATCCATTCTTTTTTTTAATGTTTCATCTTGTTCTGTTTATACAGAAAATATTTACTTATAGACATTGTTTGCCATTTTAAACATGCATATACAGGTATCTCAGCGAGACCGGTCATTAGACGTTTCTGGTGTTCTGGTCAAAATAAAAATTGCGTTCTCTTCGACTAAAATGTCTCAAATTTTTATTTTGGGAGAACCCCAGAAACGTTTAATGACTGGTCTCGCTGAGACACCTGTATAGCATCAACAGCCTTAAATACTAAGCAGGAACAACTAGGACTGCAAAAACATAAACTTATTCAAGCTGTAAGAACGCGCTGGAACTCCACATATTATATGTTGAAAAGATTAGTTATACAACGTGAAGCTATACTTAGTGTCCTATCAGACAGAACTATTACATCAAGAATACAAGCAGGACATTTGATGCTAGAAGAGAAGGAATGAATTATTATGGAGTATTGTATTACAATGTTGGAACCATTTGAATTAGTTACTACACTGTTATCTTCAGAGTCGCAACCAACCATTTCAATTGTAATGCCCATTTTAAAATCCTTAGCGGAAAATTTTATTTCAAAAACTAAGGAAGATGAGCCTAAATCATTACAAAATTTGAAGCGTTTATTACAGAATGAATTTCAATCCAGATTTGAAAATATATTAAGTAATGTGTCCGTCACCGCTGGAGGAAAAATTGGAATTTTTGACATAAGTACATTCTTAGATCCTCGATTTAAGAATAAAGAACGGTTTACTGGTTCATTATTTCAAACAAAACGACATTTGAAGAATATTTTAGAGTCAACTTTGGAGGTAACAGAAAAAGAAATAAATCATAATCCTAAAACAAAGTGCCATTGATATTTTGTTTCCAAATGAAAATTCAGCAGCAGCTGATTTAAATGAAGTTGATAAATGAAGTTTATTTGTTTCTCCTGAAATTCTGAAAAATTAGTAGTATACGTTTTGTTAATGAAATTATCCGAATATTTGAAAAATTCGACGATTCGACTAGTCGACAACTACTTCACTAGTCCAATATTAATAAATATTCGAATTATTCGACTATTCCAATTATTCAAATTGAAAATTATACAAACTATTCGAATACTTAAATTTGTAAAATTCCGAGCGCTAGTTTCTACTATAGCATCATAATATTCTTAAAATTCAGAACATTGGGTGAGACTTATATTATTAATATTTGAGTTCTTGGTTATAATTTTAAAAATGTTACTTATACACACGTTTGAATGACTGAAAATAACTGTTTGAACAGTTACATAATATCCAGTACACAGAAAATAAGCAGAGTTATAAGGAAGAGTTACATTTTGGGAACTTTAACAAAAAAAATATCATAAAAGCAGATCCCAAAATGTACAGATGGCACGTACACATGCATTCCACAAAGAATTATTCTTAAGCTCTGTGGCAATTATTCTTTGTAGAACACTTGTCTACCTAATCCATAGCACAGCCATAAAAGGCTGGTTCCTAACTACATATCACAAATATGAAATCATTAATTTATCTCAGCAGCATATTGTGGAAATAATATACAAATTTATGTTGGTCTGATATCAACCCACATGTGACAGTGGAAAGGCACGTTCAGCATCAATTTTCCTTTTTCGTAATTAATTTGTAAACCTACTGAAGGAAGTTCCATGAAACATCAGACAAAATATTTACTATTAACGTAATAGCCCCATTTTAGTTGCACAATGATTGACCATCTTCAAATTCAAAGACTAATTCATACTCAAACTGAAACAAAATGAAAAAGATATAATTAATTAATAAGTATTGTAATTCATTAATTTATATGCAGTATCTATTCAATACTTCATAATTATTATACGAATTTGTGACACCTAATTCTCAATATTTTCAATAATTTCTCAAAACAAAATTTAAACGATTAAAAGACAATGTTTACACCTAAAAGTGCCTACGCGAGTCCTCGACCAGCTCACCGGCGAAGGGCCACACAGTTAACCTCACGTGGTTCAGGAACGGTGACATGTGATAGTGAAATGGTGAGATGCAAACATATAACACAATACAACGGAATTATGAGTTGCAATAATTTTATTAAAATAAAAAAAATAACATATACGAGTATATACAGGTTGTCCGGTATCTTCCGCATCAGAGCATTATACGGTTGTAGGATACATTATTCTGAAGCGATCTTTCTAATAAATTTTTTTCGAAATGTTTGTAATAACCGCACGGGAACTGTTTTTCGACGTCCAATGGCAAATCGTAAATCAGATTCAGGTAATCGACCCAACCCTCGGCTGGACCGCCGCACCGATCAAAACACGTTTCTCACGTATACTTACCAATAGATTCGATACGGGAAGAGGAATAAACTTTTTCGGTGAATCAAAGTAATCCGCTATTATAGCGGACAATAGCGGATGACTTTAAATTAAGAATAAAAAAAGATACCTACTTGAAAATTAGATTTTAGGATAGTTTAATTTTTTTTTGTATTACATTTGGCGAAAGGTTGATTGGTTGATAGGTAAAAGGACGCGTGAATTAAAAGAAATCTTGAAAAACTTATCTCCGGTGTTCGAGGATTTAACCAGAAGAAAACGTGGTAACAGGAAAATACTTTTAAATCCGGAAATATCGAAAATTATGAGAAAAGAAAATCACTTTTTTCAAAAACAATCACTGGTGATGAATCCCAAAAATATGGATTTAGAAAAATCACAAAACTCTCCAAAAATGGCGATTCAACCAAAATTTCCAAAAAGCACACGTGATTTAGTATTCACCATCTGGTTTTTGAAAGAGAGACTTTTATATGAGTAGGATTAAGAAAAAAAAATTACACCTGTGCAAAACTTAAGAATCAACACCCTCTCAACAACAAAGGACGAAATTCAAAATTAGGAAAAAAATTAGGAATACCAGAAGTATGCTGCTGTAAAAGAGAATTTTAATAACATAATAAAATATAAATAAACGCTAAAAATAAATTTAATAATTACGTAATTATGCAACCCATAATTCACCCAAACAATCCAAGTTAACAACACATAAAAAAAACAAAACAATTTTTTTAATTTTTGAATGTAACAAATTTTTATACGAAACGTTCGTTTCTAATGCGAAATAGCCAACTATTTTTTCACATAATAATTTAAATTCATAGGTTCCATTAAAATCCACTACGTTATTCATGAGTCTTGAGTATTGAGTTTGATCTACTTAATGATTATTTTATTCAAAAACAAATGTCGTCGCGAAGATAGGTAGCTAAGCTTATAACAAAGACTAAGAATGAGCCTACAAATAAGAATCAAATTATTAGTTTTATATTGAAACATTGTAAAATTTGTTAAAATTATCTGAACACTTTGTAGTTTAAAGTTTTATTGTTGCAAACAACTGTATTCTATCATGTGGTAGAATTTGGTTTAATTCGAAGGTGAAAATTTTTTTTTTACCAAATGGGGGTTGTAAGCTGTTCTTCAGGGTAAGAGTGACCTGTGTGTGAAATTTGGTAACCCAAATCGTATTGGTTATGGAGTTAGTGTTTTAAGTTTATAGCTGGGATTTATGGATAACTTTTTTTTTTCCGTTTACATAAAATTTTCCTACACTTAATGTTTAACTTTTTAACAAATTAATATTTTGAAAATGTTATTTAATTTAAACAATCTAAATTTGTGTGTAGATTGTGAATTTGTATCGCTGGGGTTACTTGAAATTTAGTTATGTTAACTTTTATCATCAATTTAAATTTTAAATTTTGAATTTCAATTACAGTGTTCTCTTTATATTTTAACGCATGCGCTGGGCGTATTGTTCCAGTTTTGTTCAAATAAAATTACAATTTCAGAACCAAAAAAAAAGAAATAACGAAAGTAAAATTTTAACGTGTATCTCGTTCGTCTCAATGATTTTAACTTTTAATTCCAAGTTTTAATTTAATTAAACGTAATAATATCTATGTAATGTGTTCAATAATGTTTTTGGTTTATCCACTTCATAAACAAGCAAGTTTTTCAACTTATTTTGTAAAACTTCTACCATTTTAAGGACATTTTTTTTCTCTTTAACAGCAAATGTAATTCGCTCTGATGAAGGTTGTAATTCGACAACCGAAATATATTAGCAAATTGTAAAAAGTTGTTCCTGTGCTTATTTGACCGTTCACCCCGAATAGATCGTTTTAAATTTGCCTCCCACGGTTATCGGTCGAAGATACTTCTTGCCGAATATTTATGGATAACTTCACACCAGTACAAATTTGACAAAAAATTTAAACTATTACCTGTTAAACTGAGGAATTGTCTTCAAAAGTTAGACTTCAAGAAAACCATAGTTGGTGTCATTACATTGCTAATTAAAATAACTTTCTTGAAGGTGTTTTTAATTTCAGTGCACCGTTAACTAGTGCACAATTGAGACAAATCGGTACTATCTATACTTTTAAAGACCTCACCTAAAATACAAAAAGAAATATTAGATAAAAATATATTTCACATTTTATACCTATAGAAATATCAATCAGTATGATAGATTTCGAAGGACACACAATTTATGAATATATTGCATTACATCATAATCATTTATAAATTAAACAACCACAAAACAAGGTGAGGAAGAGTGACATAGCTTTGATATCAGAGGAACCACCAGTTAAAGTAGCATCAGGGATTAATAGCAATTTCATTGAAATTTTATCAAAATGAATAAGAAATTAAATATAAGAAATTATAATTAAGCTAATTGTTCAAATAGTATACCTTGGGCAGCTCCTAAACGATTTTTAAATTCTTCTTGACAATTCTCTAAGGTATCAAGAATTATTTGCTAAACTTCTGATTCTGATTTTTTGTTCATCCGAAGTGTTTGGTCCAGTGGTGTAAAATTTGGTTTGGTCCTTAAAGGAAGAAGTCCGGCAGAGCCAAATCTGGTGATATCGCAGTCCAATCAATCGGGTCACTTCTCCCATTCCATCCATTAGAAAATAATTGGTTTAAATAAACTCAAACAGGAAGGGCATAGTATGGTGGTGCGCCATCCTTTTATAAAATAATATAAGTTTCTGTTCATTTTACATTATTTTTATAAAAATTCTTACCTCATCCATGCCAACATCTTGTTCTTAATCATCTTGGAAATGCAGAATTTAAAATCTACCTCTTTTTTGTTTTTTTCGATGACGATTGACGGAAGTTTTCACGTACACGTTACAAGAGACATTCCATATGCAATGTTCGGACATTTCTACAGCGCTGTTTATGAAAAAACCACAAAAGAAACTTCTTGGAGATCAACTCTTCTTTGAATTGCTTTGAATGCAAACCAGAATGGCGTCCAGATGTCACTCCAGCACAGAATAACCAGAAAGGACACTGGGGGTATCCCGCCTTAATTGATTTTTCTGGCGTCGCCATCTTATAGGTTGGTGTTATTGTTTACAATTCCCTTTAACTTAACCTCACTTATGTTCGATGAATCCGATTGTGCTCAAAATAAATTTTCCTAATTTATTAAAGTGCAATTATTAAAACTCCAAAAGAAAATATATATACAATTTGCCTATTATTTCACGAAAAATAAACGTGCTTTAAAATTCGCACATTTAATATTCCAACCAGTAAGATGGCGGACGCATCGTAAGTAGGTCAGTAGGCCACAAATTTGAACCCTTCAACATCAAAGAGACCGCCGTCGCTGTCCTTTCTGGTTATTCTGTGACTCCTGTAATAAGAGGTCAACAAACAAGTTTTGCGTCAGGAAAACGATATCTGGTGGCAAGTATAGTTTCGTATCCCATTAATAGATGGCATGATTTAAATTATTTTACGTTTTTAGATATAATTTATTTTTATTATTTTTTTATGTATTTATTAAGAGCAGTATTTAATTACAAAAATAATTTAATATTTTAAGTATGATGCAGTTAAGGGTGCGTTAAACAATGTCATTATAAGTACCGAAATAGGACCTGACCAATTTTTTACTTTTGGGCCGTTAGATTGCTATTGAAGTAATAATTTTACTATGTATCCAAAATATACATATAAGACTTTGGCCTAAATGTCACCAATGCGAGGATTTTTTATTGTTTTAACAGATAAAAATTAACAAACTTGGTTGAAATTTCTACGAATTTATACTTTAAAATAATATTATTATAAAATAAACCAGTGCTCAAATCATAATGAAAATAAGCAAAGTCCAAGCAGACCACTTGTAAGAAAATCTCCTATGAGAAAAATCACAACATATATACATTAATTAGCAGAAATGTAAAAAATGCGTAATTACATGTAAATGAATAAAATAATTGGATAAATCAGAAACGCTTTTATCGGTATGTAATAAAAGTTCAGCGAAAAGTTCAGCTATCTTTTGATAGATGGCGTTCTATTTTTAAACGCCCCAGTTTGATTTAATTTTAACGATAAATCTAATTTTCTAAAATAACGATTTACTCGTAATAAATTACCCGTTAAGTTAAGTTCAACTTAGTGTAAGGGCTTGGTTTTTATCCTATTTTCTTATTTTTATAAATAAAAGCCTTTATTTATTAGTCATACTTACATTCACGTTTAATATAATAAAATATAATCAAAAATTAGTTATTCTCTCAACAAATTATAAAAAAGTAAACACGTTTAGTTATTTTTCTCAATTTATTTTACTTATTTTTAAAGAGAAACCTATCGAGTTTGGACTCATTTTAAAGGATTTTCAATAACCGTCCTCACCTTCACTTATAGTTTCTATATCACTGTGGAATACTACATTAGAATACCTAACAAAAAAAGTTGACATTTCTCTCTTCTTTTTGCAAGCTATGTACGGACGTTTGATACGGTGCGGTTGATTATCTCGGGAAGCATGTGTGATTTATAAAAAGAAATCAGTTTTGGCAATATGTTACTTTCCCATATGTTTTCATCGCGTTCAATAATTTCCACAAAGAGTGGTTCTTTATCGTTAATATATATAATCAAATAGCATCGTTTCTTTCCACATATATTTAATTGCCCTTGTATCTAAAAGAGACCCTCAGATCAGCTGAGGTTATAATTTTACACATCATTACCTGATAAAAATAATTGTGGTTTCTTTTCAACCGCATACCATTATCCACAATTTCAAGGCACATATCTTTTTTGTTTATCACGGCTTCTTCTAAAGATTGCCCTGCCTTATGTACGCCATACAGACATTTAATTTCTATGATGCATTCACTTCCTACGAGACCTATAATAATAACATCAGTATAAGTTACATTAAACAGTTACTGGAGGTCTGTGTAATTGACCATCAGGAGAAGCTCCAAGAAATCCATATTTCAAATCGATAAACAAACCAGCAGGAGAAACAACTAAATCGTATTCCCTTTCAAAACGACTACGTGCCACCGATTCTTTTTCAGTACCGTATGACATTGCTGGGCTTCTAAATTTACGGCAAGAAAGTAAACGATTTAACAAACATCGTGGACTGGTTGTATCTCGTCTCTTCACAACAAGACCAAAATTTGATGCTGTTAACCGTTTACTTTTTTCGTTTACGTACATTTGCGAATTATATTGCTCCGTAGTGGTGTTCGCTATTTGGTCACGTTGATCTTTTGTTACCTATAATATATAAATTTCATGTATAATCCATTATTCTATATTAGATATATTGGTGATATTTACGTACCCATCAGAATTTATACTAAACAGATATATCAAACATTACTTACACGATTAATATTATACTATATGTAGACAAACACAACATATACTACGTTGTTAGTTCCTATCTAGTATACATAGTTAGTTACATACAAATTGTAGAGATTGTGAAGATACTTTTATGCTCGATTTCTAGAAAGTAGTCGTTCCGATATTTTGGATGTATCTGTGTGCTGTTCTTGTTTACCATGTGTGAAAAACAAGGACAACACTAGAGATAGCGATTCGTTAACTTTAACTTTCGTTCTAGAAACCAACCCTAAGGGTAAGGTTACAGTGGATCAAAAAACCTGTAATGAAAGTAAAATTCTTTTCGATTCAGATTCTATTTCCGCAGTGGATAATGTTCCCTGAATAGCAGATACTCCATAATCAGAGTTTTTTGGTGCAACTATTTCACGATGCTTTCGCTTCCGTGGAGAAGCTACAAAACGGGAGACTCGACTCCCGTTTTAGTTGCATTTTATGCATATGTCTCATGAAATAATTGACAATTGACACATATCCAGATGCTTGTAATCCCCGTTGTTGCCATGATACACCTGTCCATCATAATTATATTTATAGAGTACCTAAAGATCTTTGC